GGGGGGGGGGGGAGGAATAGACTGAAGGATCATGAAATAAAGCATGGATGTCTGGAAGGCTAAAGCCCAAGAAGAAGCATTCCATTCTGCAACATTTTGTAGCCCATACCTCTCCCTGAAATCATGGCCAACTTAAGTCTCCTTGATTTGAAAGCTTCTGTTCTAAGGATGAATAAATCAGAAGAATCAAGGCATCTGTACATGACCTAGAAAATTATAAATGCCTCAATAGTAGGAATGATGATTATTTGAGTTACAAAAGAAGATTAATGAAGATTTCCCCAAGCATCATGTGAGGAACTACAGAAATTCAAGGTTAAGAGGTATTCCATTATTTTACCAGGAAAGGTATTGTGAGGAGAACGGAGTTACCCTACAACCCAAGTAGTCTTTCATAGCATAAACATAACAGCCCAAAAGTAAGTCCCATTGAGTTCACTGGGGTTTACTCACACATAGGTGGAATGTAGCCTTTAAAAAATCCAGCTGAGCCCCAAAGATCTCATAATACTTAAATTCTTATATTGATTCTACCTGGGTTTCTACCAAAAAGAACCTACTAAATAATATGCACTTTTTCACATTTCTGATTAGATGGAAAACATGATAAATGGGAGTAATCAGTGACCATTCTTCATTAAGATTCTAAGACCCACAATTAAGAAACTCAGCAAATACAGATGTGTGGTCTCTAAATTAACAAAAGAAAAAAAAACCTGCATGCAATAAGGATTAAGATTGATTGTATTGCTCAGAGGCCAAGAAGAAAAGATATGACCATTTAATGCAGCAGCCAGCACTCCCTTAACGTGTCATCCAAGTGACAGCTTCTCACAAAGATTTCAATATATGTTATGATATTTATCTCAGGGTGGATAACTTTGAGGACAGAGGTCTTTATTCTCATTTAGCAGTGAATTCGTACTTAAATGGAGCCTGAATTATGTGGCAGAAGTATTAAATTTGGAAATTATGCTAGCTATTGATATGGTGACCTCTTTTAGCAAGGAGAGAGAAGGCTTTCTTGAGAATATCTGCAACCTGGACACCAATTATACCACGGGGTGGAGTTCAGGCCGTGACCTGTTCTTGTTACTTCTGCTGCTGCTGCTGCTGCTATTTTCATAAGGTCTCTAGAAAGTATTTTCTACTATTTTGCACATATAGGTATACACATAGCCTTGCAAATGATGGGATCACAACAAATGAAAGCGGGAATGAACAGTCAAAAGTACCCAGTTTGCAAATTTATGCACCTCACCTTTGAAATGTGGCCTTCGTTTTTATAATGGAAAGCAAAGCCTTTCTGAACATATCAGATTCCTGCAACTCTGATACATTTTCTTTGTTTTGTGTGAACTATGTCCAACCCAGGAATGATATTTATGGGCTGCAAACTAAAATATCAGAGTTTAAAATATGCAGTGGCTCAAGACACCACCGAGCTGCAGGTTTTGCCACCAGGAATAAGAATAGCTCACCTATACCTCCAGTGAATATGTTGGAGGGCCATGAACTGTGAACTCTTCTTTGCTTCCTGCAGCTGGTTAATACCCAGAAGCCTTGCACATAGAAACTGATTTGCCTTGGGGTGCAACCCAGCACCTCACTCAGAAGTGTCTGGATCCACACAGGCCCAAAACAGATGGGATGAAAAAAATGATTTCTGGCAAAATTTGGGGTATAGCCTTTAGATGATGCACTCACCAAACACAGAGGGAAACCGTGCCAGACCCGCATCTTCCCCAAAGAACCTGACCAAAAAGGAACTGTGAAATACTGCTCCTTTTGCCAGTCTGGTTCAGAACTGCAGTCACAGCCCAGATTGGGACCAGGTGCATGTGGTTGCCGAGGCCCCAGTGTGAATTGCGCTGGTATGGCCATAGACCATGTTTTTTGGCCCATCTGTTTCAGGCCAAACAGTCAGTGCCTTCCTGTGTACACATCTGCTTTAATATACAATTGTAGTCTCTGTGGCTGATTTTGCCATGAGAATTCTAAAAAGAAAAAGAAAACTCTCAAAGTTCTAACTGGAATGTCTTGATGCCTTGTCTGTTCGTTAATGCCAGCTTCCTACATATTCGGAAAAGTGAGAAAGAACCCTGCTTTACATCACTCAGTAAAAGAATATCCATGGTTCTCAAATGTTAGTGCAGTCTTAACCTTAACCCACACTCTTCCCTTGTGTTAGAATTGTTGTTGCTGTTGCTGTTGCTGTTGTGTGCCTTCAAGTCATTTCCAACTTATAGCAACCCTATGGCAAACCTGTCATGGAGGTTTCTTGGCAACTTTCTTCAGAAGGGATTTGCCATTTCTTTGAGGTTGAGAAACTGTGACTTGCCCAAGGTCACCCAGTTTATATGGATGAACCTGGATTCAAACCCTGGTCTCCAGAGTCATAGTCCAAAACTCAAACTACTACACCATACTGTGTCAAGAGTAGGAATCCCATTGTCCACAGACAACATGATCATCTGGAGGGTGCCATTATGCGGAAGGCTTCTCTGGCGTTTCCCCAAAGGTCTCCATTTCATCTTTTCATTTGTCTGATACCCAAAAGGCATTTCCTCAGAGGTTTATCACATAAGGTGATTGCAATGGTAAGTGCCTGAATCTGTTCAAGGAAAGTCTAGAGCAGGCTGCAGTAGTTATTGGATTACAACTCCCAGTTGCCATAGCCAGCATAGCTGATGGTGAGGAACACCCTGGAAATTGCAGTTCAGCAATATCTGGAAGGCCTTGCAATTCCTACTCATCATCTCAGGAAAAAGCTCTCGCTGGGAAATACATAAAATCCTGAAGCCCATTAAGAGTTAAGAGCTGCTGTTGTAAATGAGCTCTGAGCAGTTTGTCATTGAATAGCTGGCAATGAGTGTGAAACACTGTTGCATCCCTATTAACTCCAAACAGCGTCTCTAAATCCTGAAAGTGGTGCCCAGATTTCCAAGTCAATATTAATTTTACACTTGACACCACAGGAGAGTGAGAGCAGCTGGGTTCACATGGGGTCAGTCTAATAAAGAGACAATAGAGAGAGGGGAAACCGCAAGGCTGGAGATTGAGTTCACCTACTAGGCAGGCAGAGAATGTCTTTTCATCACCAAGCAAGGCTGCATAGGGCAATGAGGAATCCAGCTTTGTAATGGAGGCAGGAGGGATAACAGTGGGACTGAAGCCCTGTGAAAGATGTCAGATTATTTCTGCAGCACTAACAAGGGAGACATCAGCAAATTTAGCATTAAGTGGAAGCCGATTTCATTTTGGAAGGAAGGGTACATGAGAAGAATTGTGCAAAGCTATTAAGAGTCTCTGGTCAAAAGGCTGGATTTTTATCCTTAATGAAAAGTGGTAGAATCAAATCTACACATGATATAATTAGCATACGTGGAACATACCTGGACAAGGGGTTTCACACTCCCCTCGGCAATTAACATTAGTATGCACTAGAGCAGAAGCTTTTCTTTATTCATCTTCGAGCCTCCATAATGAGGAGGGAAATATTAGAGCCTACTCAGTAAATATGAACTGATTTGTAAAACTGATCATGGTAGAAAAACCATCATTTGGTGAATTTTCCCTTCTGTCTTAATTTGATAAAATGATCTTTTGAAAAGACACTCAAAAGTGTGTTTTTGTTTGAGTGACTGACTGACCACCAGAGAGAATGAGAGAGAGATTATTTCAGGGCATAGTAATTTGCAATTTTAATACATGGTAGGGTGAACATTTTCACCAGCCTTCGTTACCATGCTATGTTATATTTATTTATTTATTTATTTATTTATTTATTTATTTATTCAATGTATATCCAACCTTTCTTCCAAATGGGACCCAAGGCAGTTACAACTTAAGTTAAAACAAAGTACATGAATAAAAAATTAGAAACCAGCATAGCATAGTGGTTTGAGTGTTGGACTACAACTCTAGAAACTGGGGTTCGATTCCCAACTTGGCCATGAAACCTACGGGGTGACTTTGGGCAAGCCACATTCTTTCAGTCTCAGTGGAAGGCAATGGCAAACCTTCCCTGAATAAATCTTGCCAAGAAATCTTGCCAAGAAAACCTCATGAAAGGATGCCTTAGGGTTTCCATAAGTTGAAAATGACTTGAAGGCACATAACAACAATAGAAAAGTTAAATTACACATTAAATTAAATGCTTAAATGAAAGGAAACTACTTCTTGGTGGGAGGGTGGACAGCCAGTGGAGCATCTGATAGTAACAGTGACAGTGACTGTGGCACTGTAGTTAACTTGTATTAGTACTGCATAGAAGAAGGCAATAGCATACCAGTTCTGAATGTCATTTACCTTGAAAAACCTTAAGATGAGAAGTTCAAAATGAAGCAAGAGATAGTGCTGGAAGATGAGAAGCCCAGGAATAAGACATTCAAGCAGCTATGGGGAAGAGGAAAAGCACAAATAATGTTGTGTCTAATGATGCATCTGAGCTCAGGCTGAAAGGATACTCATGCCCAAAGGTGAAAGGAAATTCAAAGCTATGAAACAAATATCATAGGAACATGGAATGTGAGAAGGATGAATCAGGAGGAGCTAGAAAGTGTAAAATAAGAAAATTAATGTTTTAAAGTGCAATATTTTGTATGAACAAACTAAAGTGGATTGAAATGGGTCATTTCCCATTACTCTAGAAGCAACAATCTATGAAGAAAGGCAGTATTAACAGAGAGGCTGTAGCACAAATAGTCAGGGGGTAATAATGCAAAATCTGACCAAATATTATACAGTTGGTCCTCCATATTGGCGGGGGTTTGACTCCAGGCACAAACAGAAAGTGAAAGTTACAGAGTAGAATCATTTCAGCCAAACCAATAAATGAAATCAAAAGCCTAATGCCACTGACTAGTACATGTTACTAGTATTACTTACAGCTCAGATGGGATTTGTAGTCCTGGGTGGTTCTGGATAGCTGAGAGCCTGGACTCCATTGTCCAGCTCCACCAGCTCCTCATGGTCTGCCTCATGAAAGTCAGAGGCCCACACCAGCCAACAGGCAGGCAGGCAGACCCACACAGACAGACCCAAAAAGGCAGACAAAAGCCTCATGTTGCATTCAGACTTTTTAAAAGGTTCTCTCTCAGAAGCATCCCAAAGGTTCGAGCTTCTACCCAACTCCCCATCTTATGGGGCAGTTGCCACCTGTGATGTAACACTCATTAAAATGTACCTCTCCCAACATTTAACCCTTTTTTGTCTAGGAAGAAAGCTTTGATAAATATAGGAACTCCCATTTATCACAATGGGGGGGGGGGGCAATCTGCAGCTGCACCAATCCATGGATGGCTAGCCCACTGATATGGAGGGCCAACTGTAATAAGACTTCAGGGAAACCTATCAATATAACGCTAATCCAAGTTTATGCTACATAAACAGAGGCAAAAGAAGAAGAAATCAAATGATTCTATGTAAGTATACAGGAAGAAATTGATCACACACCTAAATAGGACATGCTGATAATCATAGTGACTGGAATGCAAAAGCAAGAAACAAAGTAGAACAAAACCTTGTTTGAGAATTTGGTGTAGGGTCAAGAAACTAAACAGGGGAATAATTTATTATATTTTGTAAGACTGACAATTTGTTCATTGCAAATACATTCTTCAGGCAACCAACCAGACAACTGTATACATGGAGGTCACCAGATGGTCAATGCAGATATCAAATAGACTATATAATTGGAAGCAGAAGACAGAGAAGTTTCATTCTTTCTGCAAAAACAAGATCAGGCATGGATTAGCACAGAACTGCTAATATCAAATGTTTAGGGGGGAAGCTTAAAAGAATATGAAATGAATCACAGCACCACAATATAATCTAAAGAATTCAAAAACCATGTAAAGAACAGATGCATGTTTATGAATGTTAATGACCAAAAGTGACCAAAAAACCCCAACCTTTTTATCCAGAAAGGACCCCAGCTGAAGGGGTTCTGAGGCACTGCAGATCAGGGTGGTGGGAAATGATGACTGCAACATTCTCCTGGGGTCATTATGGAGCACATTGACAAAAGCAGTTGCTGCAGGACCCCATAGGATCTTTCCAGCTGTCTGTTCTCCAGTGACATCACTAGGATTGGTGTCACCTTGTGCAACAACTCATGGAAAGCGGTGGTGGCAGAAGCAGACTAAACATGCTCTTTCACACCCCTCCCTCCCCTCTTTTGCATATGGATGATAAGTGGCCACACGCATACACAAGAACATGCGTGAAGGAGGGGAAACAGATTTTATCACACTCCAAACAGTCCCCATGCTGTTCCTATGCCATCGCCTGTCCACCACCCATCCTGGTGTTGCATTGAGCCAGCCAATTTTGCTCAACCAGAAAGCTTCCATCCTTGAAAAATTGGCAGTTCAGCATGGCGCCAGGATGGGTGTTGGTCGGGCGACGGCATGGGGACAGCATGGGGACTGTTTTGAGTGTGATAGAATCCATTTCCACTCCTTCATGCATGTTCATGCGTGTCCCCAGCCTGTGCAGCAAAAGTGAGTACGATAAACCTCCTAGTCTATCCGGGGAGCAGCTGAAAGAAATACTAACCCCCTGTACTCTCTCATCCAGCCATTTGGATTAACACAAACAGTTACGTATGCCTGCCAGAACTTTCTAAGTTCTTTGGCATCATTTTCCTTTGCTTCATCCTTTACATCCTTTGTTAAATGCCCCTAAGTTTTACCCTTGACTTATCCAAGCGCCATACCAAAATCCATAATTTTGACCCCAAAACCTGCCTTCAGCTTATACATGAGGTCAACTTACAGTCAGGTATATATGGTAATTATTTTCAGAAGAGAACTTCTAGGAAAAGACCCACCCACTAGGCACAGGGAAAAAATGAATTTTTATTTCACAGAGAGATCTAGGTCTTCCAATAATTGTTCATAATTCTGTACTGTGCTGGTGGGACATAAAGCTGTGCCAGATGTAGCTCCTCTCACTCCCCTTTCTCCACAGGCATCTGACCTCCAGAAAGTCCACAATGATGCCTTTTTCTTTGCCCAGCTGTCTGCCTATTGCCTGGCCATCACCCTCCGACACCACTAAATAGCTGGCAAAGAGGTTGCTGCATTTCCAGGAAGTAAGTTGCCCGCTCCAGGGCTCACTGAAGGTGAAGGTGCTGGATATCTCTGCCACATCAACCATAAAAAGACAAATACAGGCATAATGTGTCATTTTGCTAGTCTGTGTCATTAATATGATTCCAGCCACTCATATGTTGTGACAGTATTTGCTTACAAGGTGCTGCATGAAGTTCACATTCTCTTTCCATTACCCTCCCCTCTCCATGCTTACTCACAGATCTGCAACTGTTATATGTTATTGTTATGTGTCTTCAGGTTAATGCTAACATACTCCAATTCTGTCATTGAGGTTTCTTGACAAGATTCATAGGAGGCCATTACCTTCCTCTGAGATGGAGTGAGTGGGACTTGCCCAAAATCACTCAGTGGGTTTGCATGGCTGAGCAGGGATTCAAACCTGGTGTCCCAGAGTCCTGATCCAGTAATCAACCCATTTATGCAATAGTTGTATAATGTCAATTGTAACATAAACACAACAATTCCCTGAGACTTCAGTCAGTGGCCTGGAACCCACCAAGCTGAGATGAGCACCCTTTTAAAAATTTTCCAAGGCATCTTAGGACGTTATCACATGGGGGAAATGTTGGTTAATCCACACAAATCCCAA